ACACACATTTCAAATAAAACAAAACATAAACACGTTCATAATACACACATTTCAAATAAAACAAAACATAAACACGTTCATAATACACACATTTCAAATAAAACAAAACATAAACACGTTCATAATACACACATTTCAAATTGTTTCTTCTTGTTTTTCATTTAAAAAAACACAAAAAAACGTTACTTTAAACTACACTCTCTCCCATTACACCTGGTTATTAGCGTACATAAATATACCCCAAGGAAATATTCATATTCGATACCTTTACTCAAGACTCGTATAAAAGACCAACTTATGTGAATAGTAATTTTGTGAGTGGTGAAACGACATCAAGAACCCTAGCGACGTTCGACAATCAAACGAAGCCCTTAGGGTAGAAATTTTTCTGAGTAAATTCTTGCGATCTGGTGGAGGAAATAAAAATTAAACTTATTTTTTTTATTCCCCTCCGGTAAAGTAAGATAAAAAAAAATGCGCATCCGATGAAAAATCCTTAGAGGCATAAAGCTGATAATTTTAAAGAAAACTTGGGTTCACTTCCAGGAAGTTGTCTCGGAAGAAAGGGTTCACTTCCAGGAAGTTTTCTCGGAAGAAAGAGAAGAGAACGAATAATTATACACTTTTTTTTAATCATTCAAATATTCTTTCACGAACTGTTCAAATTTCAAAAACTAAAAGCAATACATACTTTACAAATGCTAAAGTATGAGCAAGACTGTGCTTTTTTTCTTGTGTTCAAATAAGATTGCAAACAGTTCCCCTGTGATTGGTATATAGCGTAAACCCACCCCCGTGCAGCTAAGGGCTAAAAACAAACAAATAGAACATAAAGAAAGTAGTTTTTATATTCCTTTTCTAGGCTTTAATTAAAACTTTTTCGTTCATCGATCTATTGGGGATTCGAAAATTAAAACATAACCTATAAACTTATAAATTCCAGAAAAGCAAAAATATATTAACGCTTACGACATAAAATGAGAGAAGTAATAAATGGTAATACTAACATACCTGCAAGTTTGCTATTTGGAGTGACCTCTGGAGGAAAATTGTTGCAAGAAAGATGTTAAATGTTCGCGGACTTGTTGGACTTTTGGCAAAACTCAACATCCCCTCATACCGTTAAAATAAAACAAACAACAGATAAATACAAACTCCACAACCCTTCGTTTGGCCTAGGTAGTTGCTTTCCCGAAAAGGGGGCCAAAGGCCGCCTGGAGGGTCACTTATTTTAACCACTCGCACCATTCAGTAGTGTGTTGTCTGTCTGTCTGTCAGTCAGTCAGTAGAAACTAAAATGACGTCACATAAGGGACGCTTAACGTTGCGATTTGTCAGTAAAACGTGCGCATGCCATGAATCACGAGAAGAACTATGCACTCTGTAGGCTACAACACAACATGACATACGAACTTCAAAAGCAAGAAATAAAAATATTTATTTTTAATTTTGGTCTTATTTAGTCTTGAAACAGAATACTTTCGGAAGTACAGCTTGTACTTCTTCTTTATTTTTGTTAGTTCCATCAAATAAAATTTGGAAATATCCCAGTGCATCGTTACGTGACGTTTCGCTTGTGAAGAATCCAATTATCTAGTTAGTTGCCTCAAATAACCTCAATCGGGATTTCTTCTTGAGAAACGTTTATTCAAATCAGAAGTAAACAGCGACATCAGACTACGAACAAACAAACTAAATCGTTAGGTAAAACATCCTTTTTCACTCGACAGTTGATTGGTTTCGTCAAGTTTTACGACTACTTTTTTATCGGTATACTTCATAAAACAAAAACAGATAACAAAGTTGAAATTTTTGTTCTTCAACAATCTAGAGAAAAGTCAAAACTACGTCAAAAACAAAGCAAAAAAAACTTACGAGAAATTAGGAAAGACAAAATAATAGCAAATTAAACCATTATTTTGTATTTTGTTATTGGCGTTTTTTTATTTCTATATCTTGTTAAAACTCAAGTATTAAAACTAATTTCGACGTAAAAAGATTTATATAAAGAAGTTATAATTTATTAAATGAAGAGTAACAAAAAACTCACTTTTAACAGTGGTAAAGAGGTCCGAGCTGCTGTCCGATCCCTATAATGTGAGAGAAAATTATTTAATTTTACAATAATTTGTCTTTTCCATTAACAACAACAACAAAAAAAAAACAACAACATACAATCGGAAAGAAACATTTAACATTGTAATTAATTAACAAATGCAATTTTAATTGTGTAATAAGTTGCATAATCTCCCTAATAGATGGTAGCACTATCGATTGCCACTGTAAAGAAGGGATCTCGATAATAAAAAAAAAACACCAGTTAATTTAAGAGACGTACTAATTTCCAAGTGATTCTCTACAGTAGTCTAAAAGTCTCTAATCTTCTTAGAACGAGCCCCAGGGGACATATGAAAACGGAGAAAAGATAGTTACCACAAGTAACAAAAACCCGTGCCTTGTGACAGTTAGTACGCTCGACTACCAGCAATGCACCACCAAGGACCATTATTCACAGTGGGATCGCGAGCAGTTTGGCGTAAATGATACACGGTCTCCTGGTGGCAGACACCATAAAATCAAATTCTGATACACGGTCCCTTGGTATCAGATCCCATAAAATCAAATTCCCTTAATACCGAGCTGTTCACGGCTGTTTCTTAAAGAAACCAGAAATTCAAATATCAGGCTCGCCTAACGAATTCACATAGGTAACGTAACATCAAGTAATGGAGGCACATGGACAGAATACAGGGTAGCGTGTTCCTTAGGAAAAGTTAGTGTTCATGCTGTACACTTTCACATCTACACACAGGGGCATAGTGATATATACAGATAAGACATAGAAACAGATGCTTACATAGATAGGACATAAGCATGCAGAAATATGGCACAGAAATAAGACACATTAATATACGCTAAGATAAGAGATAAACGGGTACACAAAGCAAGGCCTACGCATAAGGAGACAGACAAAAATATAAGACACATAATTGTTGGAATGCATGTTCATTAACTGAACAATTCAAACAAAGACAGGTATATATACACAAACGTATAGATAAGCACATGGAAGTACACAGTACAAACAAGTACAACAATCAACATAAAAGGCATACAGAAACACAAACAAACAGATATGCAAGTAATCTGGCTAAACGGAAAGTCACCATACAATTTAGGTGATGTCTTGTTGGCAAACATCGAACACTCTTAGTACATTACATCACAGAAACAAACAGTTATACGGATAATTACATCCAAGTCCTACACACAGACAAACTGTGCCGAAACAATAAAAACGCGGATAAAGAGTACCGAAAAGTGACACAAACAGTTGTGCGAATAATCACACACAGACAAACCAAACCGTCACATAAACTGCTGTACGGTTAATTATAAAAAAGACAGACAAACCAAACCGAAACGTCACAAACTGCTGTACGGATAACTATAAAAAGACATCCAAGTCTTACACGCAGACAAACCGAAACGTCACAAACTGCTATACGGGTAATTATAAAACAGACAAACAAGACACAGACAAACAAACCATACCGAAACGTCACAAACTGCTGTACGGATAACTATAAAAAGACATCCAAGTCTTACACGCAGACAAACCGAAACGTCACAAACTGCTATACGGGTAATTATAAAACAGACAAACAAGACACAGACAAACAAACCATACCGAAACGTCACAAACTGCTGTAAGGATAACTATAAAAAGACATCCAAGCCCTACACGCAGACAAACCGAAACGTCACATAAACAGTTGTACTGGTAATTATATAAAAAAAAGACATCCAAGACACAGACAGACAAACCAAACCAAAACGTCACAAACTGCTGTATGGGTATTTATGTACAAACAGTAGACAGTTAATACTGTAAAGACTGATGTATGAGTAACAGGCCTACAAATTCACACATAAACAAAACAAACAGACCAGTAATTTACATCATACAGACAAGTATAATCAACCTTAAATCTCCTCCCCCAGTTAATCAGACCTTACCTCTACACGTTCAAATTCAGCGATCTTCGCACGTGGCAAAAATTATTATTCTTATCAATTTTAATTTAAACATACAACGTACAGCGTTTGCTGGGATTCTAATACATAAGTTAGAAATGACAGTATGTATATACATATAAAGCCGCTGGTGACGTTTTTCTCCGAACGTATTAATAACAACAATATCCCTTTAGTTGTGACACGAAACATAACTTTGTTTCTGGCCATGTGTAGCTAAATCGTGTCAATTATCATTTTATGGTACATTTTGTTTTGCTATAGTTCATACACGTTTAATGTATATAATTTATATTGAGCTTCTAACGTAAGAAGCCAAATTCAATTGTTCTGGCCATTTACCGCCGACAAACCAGATTTATGGCTTGAGTAATAACCAACTTTATCCTGGTTAATGAACACTCACCGAAAGCAGTGCCCGAACGACAACAATATCAAAACAATTAAACTGAGGGAAAAAAATTTTATGGCCGAATTATTCAGCTATTAAAAGTGGCGGGTAATCATGGGGAGTCAAACATAAGAACCCTATTATTCAAAGACAGTTCTGTAGTGGTAAGTAATTCAAACGTAGGGCTAAAGAGCTCTCCATCATGGAAGTGTTTTATTTGCGAAGGAAAAATTCGGCGTTTCAAAAGAGAAGGAAGATTAAATCTGATTGGCTTATCCTACCACAGATACAAAACATTAGCTTGACGTAAGCATCGGTTGCGTCGCTTAGTGACAAAACGCGAAAACAACTAGACGTGTGTATTTCTTAAGGTCTTGTTTGTTTGTTTGTTATGAATTTCGCGCAAAGCTACACGAGAGCTATCTGCGCTAGCCGTCCCTAATTTAGCAGTGTAAGACTAGAGGAAAGACAGCTAGTCATCACCATCCACCGCCAACTCTTGGGCTACTCTTTTACCAACGAATAGTGGGATTGTCCGTCACATTATAACGCCTCCACGGCTGAAAGGACGAGCATGTTTGGTGGGACGGGGAATCGAACCAGCGACCCTCAGATTACGAGTCGAGCACCCTAACCACCTGGCCATGCCGGGGCCTTCTTAAGGTCAGGAAATATTTTGTTACTTTTTTTTAGAAAATAGAAATTCTACCCAAAATAGTAACGTCTGAAGAGAATTTCTTTAGTCTTGCTAATAGTTAAAGTCTCGGTTTATACGAAAACCAGTAACATAATCACAGGAATAACAACTGAGAGATGTAACAGAATATTGAACCCGTCAAAGAAATATTCACTACAAACTTACTGCAAATTATTAATAAAATAAAACTGAAATTATGTCTCGTTTGTTTTTTCTATTCCCACTTAATGGTAGTGTTTGTTAAAGGTTATGTGTTTAATGTAGAAGTCTGTATTGTTGTTTGGCCAGGAGGCGTCACATAAAGAGTGCGTGGCTTAACGTCCAGATTTCTCCAAACTTATTTGAACCAGATATAGATTGAGTTGGGCCGCAAACAGCAGAGAAGCGAGCGAATCTGTCAGTTAACAAATAATCAGTGTACATGATGTAGTCAGTTTCTTTCTATCAACCAGTTAATACAATACTTTAAAACCCGAGTTTTGTGTTTGCAGCGACGTACAAGAGATACGAAGTTAGCAAGAATGGAATTTCTGTTGATGTTATTTGTGAAGTTAGACTGTTACACTAATCGTTATTTACGTAAATCCATGGAATTTGTAGCCAAAGAAATAAAACATTTCCATCTTCATTAAATTTTCCATTCTTCTTCTTCTTCTTACTAAATAATGTGAAAGGAATTGCCCAACAGTAGAAACCGTTGGAGCATTTTCATCTTCCCTAAATGCAAGAGTGAACAACGTTTCTGTCTCTAAACTGAAGCTCTTATCAAAACGAAACAACGTCCTACCTTATTCTACGGACAGATGAAGTCTATAAAAAAAAACTTCAAATCCGTTATAATCCGTCTCAATCTGTTCTAAAAATCTAATCACACAATATAACAGACTTGAATAACATTTACAAGTTGTTGCAACTACATCTATTCAAGTACGTTTCATATTCACTGTAGATATGTTCGTTTATTATTACACAACCTCCGCAACTATCGAACTCTGAATTATATGGTTAAATGCCCCCAATTTAACTCTGCGACAGCATTTCGTGTTTAAGTAAATAGTTCCCGCATGTTTATTAATTCCAACAATTTATTTTACGAAAGTTAATCTATTCTTGGGAAAAGTTTGTAAACTTACTACTGTAAAACATTAAACATTATTGTACAGACATACTGTAAAACTGTCTGTAAAACATTAAACATTATTGTACAGACATACTGTAAAACATTAAACATTATTGTACAGACATACTGTAAAACTGTCTGTAAAACATTAAACATTATTGTACAAACACTGTAAAACTGTCTGTAAAACATTAAACATTATTGTACAAACACTGTAAAACTGTCTGTAAAACATTAAACATTATTGTTCAGGCATACTGTAAACCATTAAACGTTATTGTACAGACATACTGTAAGCCATTAAACGTTATTGTACAAACACTGTAAAACATTAAACATTATTGTACATACACTGTAATTTTTTTTTCAGTATTTGTACAATAACGTTTAATGGCTTACAGTATGTCTGTACAATAACATTTAATGTTTTACAGTATGTCTGTACAATAACATTTAATATTTTACAGTGTCTGTACAATAACATTTAATGTTTTACAGTATGTCTGTACAATAACATTTAATGTTTTACAGTATGACTGTACAATAACATTTAATGTTTTACAGTATGTCTGTACAATAACATTTAATGTTTCACAGCATGTCTGTACAATAATATTTAATGTTTTACAGCATGTCTGTACAATAATATTTAATGTTTTACAGTATGTCTGTACAATAATATTTCCTTGTTTGTTAAAATGTACTGACACTTCACGGTAATGCGGTGTTGTTTAGAAGTAGAAAAAGCGTATGAACTCCAGTTGGAAACAGTGTGAGAAGTCTTACTGGAAACAGCGGGATATGTAGACGTTTTTACCACACCCGAATTATTTACATAATAAAA